AAACTGGAGTATATATTAAAATTTTTGTCTTACTCATTCCCTCAACCTCACTATCTGGCACAGACTATTGAATGGATGGACAAACAGATGCCTGATAGCAACATAGAAATAACATTTGCCTCCATTGTACTCCCTGGCTCAGATGTATACAGAAAGTGGAGGATAATAGTATTGCCAGGTTAAGTGCAAGTTGCTAGGTTGTGGGAAGGCTGCAAGGAAACATTGCTTAAAATCACATGGTAGAGCTGCAACTCTGAGGAGCAAGCTGGCCCAAGAAATAGACAGCATTTGCAAAATTTCCAGTAGGCTGGGGCTTTGGAAAGTATATGAATCACAAGAGGGAATACAAATCAACACATTGTGGCTCTTCCAGCAATGGTCATGCCAAGAGTAAAGAAGGCAGTGTGAAATGGTGCTAGAAGAGATGATAAAAGCAAAACAGAACAGAGTATTCAGTGTGAAAAGGACTTTGGAAGAATACCTTGGCCTTTTCTTTAGCCCTTTTATATGATTTCAGATCTTCAGAAGTTTGAATTTCTCATACGTGGGTTACTACAAAAGTTTTGAGACAGACTGTGTTATGGTCTATTACAGAAACACAGTCAGCAGTGTCCTTTCTGATTTACCCCAGGCATGTTTCGACTTGCTCAGCTTATTGGTACTGCTGGTAGGGCTATCATTTGTTTCCATCCGCAGGGATCTTACATTTGATTTTTTTTGTATCTCAAAACTTTCATAGTGACCCACATATAAGTGGAAATAGTACATAATTGGTGTTAGTACTCCTCAGGCAAGGCCAGAGGCCTAGGAAAGGAGAAAAATTTCCCTGGTGTTTTATTCCCTGTGTATCTTAAATTGTTAGACTTCTTTGATTTTTCAGCATCTATAATACATGTGTAAGGCCCATGATTTCAAATGGTTTTCTCTGTTGACATAGGAAATCCACATCCACTTTGGGGTTTAATGGCTAAAAATAAACAAACAAAAAAATAATCAATGTGAAAGGGGCCTTTGAAATGTCATGTACAACCTGTCCTCTAGCAAGCCTTGTTAGGCAGTGTAACCTATGGAACTCTTGGCATATTCAACAATGAGGAGAGTTCAGCTTCTCTGGCTTTAGCCATATGCCATGAATACATTTGTTTTTAAATGAATTTATAAAATATTAATGTAATCATACCAAACAACAGAGTAGTGAGTACACCAGTCAGGAGTTATATTTATCCTGTGTGTTTGTTTTTTTGTTTGTCTCCATTTATTAGTAAAGAGTACATGGAGACAGGCATTTCCTTCTCAGTCAAAGAGGCAGAACTTGTTTAATGAACTGATGTTTCTGTAATCTGCGGTAAGGTGGAGTTGTGAGTGACAGCGTTATATGAATAACAATGAGGAGACAGGCAGAACAATAAAAGGAAGACAAACATTTCAGTAGGAGGGGGAAAATAGATGGGATTGTTTAGTTGGCACACAGTCTAATCTGATCTTTTCCTAAAGAAAACTAACAGTTTGTAAATGGGTGAGATGATGTTAACAATTTTCTCCAAAATCTTTGGTGTGAGGAATCTAATTTTCCAGAGGTATAATGGCATTTCTTTCTTTTTCTTTTCTTTTTTTTCTTTTTTTTTTTTTTTGAGACAAAGTCTCACTTTGTCACCCTGGGTAGGGTGCTCTGGCATCACAGTTCACAGCAACCTCAAACTCTTGGACTTAAGCGATTCACTTGCCTCAGCCTCCAAAGTAGCTGGGACTGCAGGTGCCCGCCATAGTGCCAGGCTTTTTTTAGAGACAAGGTCTCACGCTGGCTCAACTAGTCTCAAGTTTGTGAGCTCAGGCAATCCACCCACCTCAGCCTCCTAGAGTGCCCGACCAATAACTCTATTTTCAACAAAGAGTAAGCTGAGTGTCATCGTTATATGTGTTTGTGTCTCTTTTAAATGTCTGGATTAATAAAAGACAACTGGATTCCCATATCTGCTTTAGCATTCAAAGTGCTGTGACGTGGTTTTAGCTGAAAGATCCAGAACAAAATCTGGCCTCGCACAGAAATGTGGTTGGAAAAAGGAGGAG